CCCTACCATGTCATCCCCCGTTGCCAATACCAGATCCAGTAAGGCATTCCCCCTAGTGGGACTGTGTACCTCCTGCGTCAGGTGGAGGTCCTGGACACAGGATAGGAACCTGCGTGAACGGTGGGACTTTGCTGTCTGCGTCTCCCAGCAGATGTCTGGGTAGTTTAGGTCCCCCATGACTACCACCTCTTTAGTTTTTATGGTCTGCGAGAGCTGCCTCAGGAGCCCCAAATCTAGCTCTTCCCCTTGATGTGGGGGTCTGTAGCAGACCCCTACCACCAAATCCCTTTCTCCTTGCCCCCCATGTAGCCTAACCCACAATCCTTCTACTTCCTCATCCTTGGATTCCGTCTTGATGAGGGTCGATGTATATTGCTCATTGACATAGCGCGCAACCCCTCCCCCTTTCTTCCCCACCCTGTCCTTTCTGTACAGCCTATAACCCTCAATGTGTACCGCCCAGTCGTGGGACGAATCCCACCAGGTTTCCGCAGTGTTCAGGGAATTTGTGGTGGTGTGACCCAGAGTGCTCAGTACTTGAGTACATGTCCATACAGCAAGTCATCAAAGTGACTCTGAAAACAAAGAAGTTTAAACTGTTTGCTTCCCCCCACCAGATTTGGGGGTTTTAATTATTTTTTGCCATTCTTCTTGGCTAATATCAACAATAGGGGAAAAATTGTGCGAGCAGTAATGCCATTAAACTCTTGGGCTCCAGAGCTGTGCCACTCACTGGCTTTCCAGCCCTCGGGAAGCCCCGAGGTCCAGATTCGGCCCATGAGGCCAACTGAGAGTGATGCCCCTGCACATCATGTTTTCCCTCTGAGGATGCCCAGTGCACAGCATCTCTACACTGTGATGTGACCGCATGTCTTTTATATGGGACTGAAGAGGCCGTTTGGTGAGAGATGGAGGAAAGGGGAAAAAAAAGGGGGGTAATCAAGTAGAGGTGCTGGCTTAAAAGATTAGCTGCGCTCTTGTATAGATTAGAAAACAAATGAGCAGCACGGAGTGAGGAAAGGAAGGAGATGTGTAACAAAAGCAAGAAGCACGTGCCTTGGGCAGACTGAGTGGCATTGTGTGACAACTGATCTGAAAATATTTTTTTTCCAGTACTAATTGTATAGTTTATTCCATACATCCTTTTTGTGTGGTGTTTAATCTATTTGATTACTGGGCAAATGCACCTGAAGTTCACAAAACAATGTTTTAATATTTAAAAGGTACTTCTGGGACATTTTCAGTGATGTTTTTCTGTAAGTTGAAGTGCATGACATTGTATTAGTCTCCTCAGTAATGGAAATCACTCTTATTTCTTTTCCCCCCTCTGAACAGGGATTCTTTTCCTTTTGATCAGCAGTTTAACATCCTGATGCGATTTATTGTAGATCAGACCCAAACGCCAAACCTCAAGGTCAGTAACTACAGGTTTTGCATTGAGATATAAGTATAAGTCTTGGAATCTGTTTTAATACACTTTAGCATATTTGAATATTTAATATTTACAGGAACAATGACTAATAGTAGGCACAGATAAGATGCCATGCTGTAGTGTAAGAGTGGTGGTGTAGCTGTAACAGTCCAGAAATTATGCAAAAGGCAAAGATTTCATAGGGTGATATCTTTTATTAGACCACATCTGCGGTTGGGATAAAGATAGACAAGCTTTTGAATGCAAGATATCACCCTAAGAAATCCTTGCCATTCATATAATACTGTGTAGGAAATGATCGTTATAATTTTTCATTGTCCTTGAAACACCTTCATTAATAGGAGGCAACATTTACCGATAAGCCCAAGTAACTCAGGAGCTTAAATTTCATTTTGCCCAGTGACTTTGGTTAATACTTGAAACCAGATTTCTAAGGTCAGGTAAGTGATGAAAACCTTTGACGGGCACCTGGGATTTTCAAAAATGCCTCAAGTTTAATGGTGGGAGGCACTTTTGGGAATCAAGCCATATGCCTATCTGTCTCTAGGCAAGAAATACATCTCTAGACTGAAATACACTTGTGGTTGTCCCACTGGAAGGCCGTGGGACATGGGCTCCTAAGTCACTTTGGGCAAAGTGGACTTTGGCTCTTCAGCCACTTAACTCATTAAAGTGTGCTTGGGAAAGTGCCTAAGGCCCCAAGTAAACTGAAGGTATTTTCCATGATTGTGTGTAGGAATGTGGTCCTCCCTTCATCACAGCATGTGTTTTGAGCAAAACAGTGTACTTGTTGCTAGCTTCCCTGACAGGAGAATCTTGTTTGCTCCACACATAATGTGAACTGGTCTCTTTACCAGGGAGGGAAGTAACGTCTGCAGCAGAAATACTAAGCTGAGCTGTATGCTTTTAGTGTGTTACCAGAGTTCACCCAAAAGAGACACTTGGTCCAACTGTGGTGTGTGAGAATTGTTTTAAGCAGGCGTGTGAACGTCAAAAGCGCCGAGTTGTACACCGTGTTTTTCAGTGGCATGCACTATATATGAGGGCCCCTGACAGATGCTACACTTAAAATGGGATTAGCTCGTCAATCCCATCTTTAGTGACCTGGCCACATGTTCATTCAGTTAATGGCTTCATACCGCCAGTAATAGGCCACAGAGTTATTACACAAAATAACTTACGTGAATGCGTGGCCAGTGCTCCCAGCCTCTGGAGCAAACTGGAAGCCTATAAGACGCTTGTGCTGCAGACGCGGGGAGTCTGGTCGGCTGATCCGAGCTGGGGGAGCGCACCCTACTAGGCAGCTCAGGGAATCAAGTTGTCTACTTGCTGGTGCAAGAGGAGCCTGGGATCACAATCTTGGCCTCCCCACAGTATGGCACAATGGGATTTGCTTGATCTCACAACGATGCCTCCCATCATGCACATGTGGCATGGTAGGAAGCACGATTGTTGGGATCTTGTTTCGTATCCCATTATGTTTTAATTTAAGAAGCAGCCAAGGTTTCAGATGAGAGCTCACTGTTGTCACCACTCCCTGCAAGGAGGGATCTCAGGCTTCTGGGCACCCAAGCCTTTGGACTTCAAAAATCTAGTTTAAGACCCATGTCCAAAGCTTTTACACCAGTGGGGCAGTGCCACCATGTATGAGACATGGCTGTGCTACAGGTATTCTGGCTAGGGTGAATTCTATGAAGTGGTTTGGACCAGGTGAACGAAATACTGGTTTTTATGCACAGACAGATTTTTAAGAGATCTCTTGCATAGGTGTCTCATGCCATCCTTTAGCACTAAAGTGTATCCTGTATGCAAAATTTCTGT